GCCGCCGCAAATGCTGCAGCAAATGCTGCCACGATTTAACCCCAAAGCCACTTGTGTAGAAGAATTTTTTGTCTTGATGATTTGGTGCCGCTGCAGCTGCTGCAGGACGGCTCAGCGCAGACGGGCACTGCTGCTGCTCCGGTGCTGCTGCTGCTGCAGCAGCAGCAGCTGGACCCACAGCAGCAGCAGCAGCAGCGGCAGCTGGCCCACTGGGGCGAGTTCGTTGCTGCTGCTGCTAAACATGCTGCGCTGCAGAAGCAAGTTGGCGTTGGCAGCCACCTCAGCAAACAGCTCACGCTGCAGCAGCTAGCCAGACTTCTGAAGATTCTGAAGTTCCTTTGTGTTCTCCTCAAGAAGCAAAAACGTTCCTTCTCCAGCCAACAAGACGTGAGGGTTTAGGGTTTAGGGTTTGGGGTTTGCGGGGCTGCGGTTCTCGCCGCCGCGGGCGGCCGCAGCAGCGCTGCTTCGAGCCCAGCGCTGCTGTGGGCCCAGGGTTTGAGGATTAGGGTTTAGGGTTTAGGGTTTAGGGTTTGTGCTGCAGCTGGCGAGGCAGCTGCGGGTGGGGCCGGAGCCCCCTGGCCACGCAGTGACTGCGTGGCTGCAGACGGAGTTTTTGAAAAAGGGTTTTGACGAGAAGTACAGCATGCCCAAGGAGTATCAAACCAAGTACTGCTAGGGTTTAGGGTTTAGGGTTTAGGGTTAAGGGTTTGCGAGGGTTAAGGGTTTGCGAGTTGTTAGGGTTTAAAGCTTGCTACGGTTCAGGGTTTTGGGTTTGTGGGGGTTTAGGGCTTGCTAGAGCTTAAGATTTAGAGTGTGGGGGCTTTAGGGTTTGCTAGCGTCTAGGGTTTAGGGTTTACGAGGGTTTAGAGTGTGCTAGGGTTTAGGGTTTGCTAGGGTTTATGGGCACCGAGGCTGCAGGGGGGTTTACACTTCTCACTGGGTAGGAGGGGAAGCCAGCGCACAAAAGCTTCAGGGCACGGACAGAGGGTCTAGGGTTTAGAGTTTAGGGTTTAGGGTTTTGGCGAGGGTGTTTAGGGTGCTGATGACGATCGCTTGGGTTTGCTGCGCGTTGTCTGCGGACTTCAAATTTGACTTCACGACTCTTTTGGAGGTGGAGTTCAACAACGAGAGAACCGCAAAGTAAACCCTAAACCCTAACTTAGGGTTTGAGAGCCACCAAAGCTTGGCGGTGGCTCTGACTGGGAATTAACCCTAGTTTAGGGTTTGCCAGCTCCTCAGCATAATTAAGCCTTCCCGCAACCCCCCTGCAGCTTGCTTCACCGGACACGTCGAAGCAGCAGCAGCAGCAGCAGCAGCAGTGTTGTCGTTTGTGTGCAGCTTCGCGGCGTGTGCTTCTCTCATTGGTATGAAACCCTCACGCACCAACGAAGTAAGTCCACTCAGATAAGGGTTTGGGGCGAGGGTTTAGGGTTTAGGGTTTAGGATTTCTTTGGAGTTGACGTCTCTAGGCGGCCACACTGGCCGGAGCAGTTTACTGTTAAGGGTTTGTCGTTTAGAGTTTGCCGTTTAGAAGAGGTTTGCCTACTAGGGTTTAGGGTTTGTTCTCCAGGGTTTATCATCTGTCAGGGCGTAGGGTTTGTTCTCCGAGGGTTTAGGGTTTGCTATCTAGGGTTTATTGCCTATTTGGGTCTAGGGTTTAATTTCCGAGGGTTTAGGGTTTGCTGTCTAGGGTTTAGTGTCTATTTGGGCCTAGGGTTTGCTTCCCCTTCCCCCTAGTGTTCCCCAGGGTCACGGGGCTCGTCCTAGGGTTTAGGGCCCGCTCCCTAGGGTTTAGGGTTTAGGGTTTAGGGTTTGTGGTTTGCAGAAGGAGTACCAGCTGTCGTTCCCTTCGCCTTTAGTGCAGCTGGAAAGTGCTTCGGACCTTTCGGTGTCTCTACAGTCCGTTTTCGAGGAGAAGAGAAAGCGGCGGCGCTAAACCCTAAACCCTAAACCCTCGCTAGACCCTAAACCCTAAACCCTCGACTTAGGGTCCAAACCCTCGCTGTTTGGCGAACAGCCTCAAACTTAAGTTGGGCGCTGCGGTGTACGTACACCCCGTGTCCCATCGACACCCAAACCCTAAAAAGCAGTTTCTTTTCTTTTATTCAAACCCTAAAGGAGAGCTTCTTTTCTTTTTGTTCAAACCGTAAACAGCAACTTCTTTTCTTTTTATTTATTTTAAAAATGCTTTTCGACTTTTTGTCTAAACCGCTCAGTCTGGCGGCTGCCGCGGGGTGTATAGGCAGCTGCTCCGGCGTCGCTGCTGCGGTGTATAGGCAGCTTTCGGGTGTATAGGCAGCTGTGGGGTGTACAGGCAGCTGTGGGGTGTACAGGCAGCTGGGGTGTACAGACAGCTGCAGCAAGAGTCAGCTCTCAGCTTGAATTCCATGAGCAGCAAGTTGCTGCTTCAGTTTTTCATTCTGTTCATTTAGTCTTTCTGCTTCTTCTTTGTACTTACTTGCTGCTGCTGCTGTCTCCTGCAGCAGCGAGTCCATCTCAGCCAGAGCCTCAGCGGCTTCCGCCACCCTGCACGCTCCAAACCCTAAACCCTAAACCCTAAACCCTAACTCCTAAACCCTAAACCCTTCGAAGCAGACAGCTTGCAGGTACCCTCACTCTGCAAGGCCGCCAGCAGCAGCAACGGCTGCAGTGCTTTCGCAGCAGCAGCAGCAGCACTAAACAGAACAGCAACAGCAGCGGCAGCAGCAGCAGCAGCAGCGATAGCAGCAACAGCAGCAGCAGCAGTAGCACCAGCAGCAGCGATAGCAGCAGCAGCAAGAAACTGACTGCGAATTCTGCAGGTCTTCCTTTTGCTGCTCTTCCAGCTCATTTACTTTCCGCCTGCAAGCCGAAAACCCTAAACCCTAAACCGTAAACCCTAGCATGAACCCTTCCCTGATTGGCCTCTTGCGGACTCGCTCTCTCTTCTAAATCCTCCGCAGTCGTTCGCAGGTGGAAGCCCCAGTCCCTGGCTCCACAGCCTAGGGTTTAGGGTTTAGGGTTTGGGGTTTAGAGTTTAGGGTTTAGGGTTTACAGTTTAGGGTTTAGGGTTCAGGGTTTACTTGAGAGCCTCCACAGTGGACGCCAAGGCCAAACACTCGCTTTCAAATAATTCTTTTTCTTGTCTTGCTGCTTTCAATTCGCTTTGCAATACCAGCAGCTGCTGCTCCCTCTCGCGCGCTGCAGAACTCAAACCCTAAACCATAAACCCTAAACCCTAAACCCTAAACCCTAGGCTTCGAAAAAAACCCCACTGTTGCCGCCAGCTGCTGCTGCTCGTGTTTTGCGGCTCCACTTCAGTCCTGCCAGCGCCCCCAGAGACTTGTCTTGCTGAATAAGGGTCTAAGGTTTAGGGTTTAGGGTTTAGGGTTTAGGGTTTAGTACCTCCAGCAGCAAGTTGAAATGCCTCTGCTCGGTATCTCGAAAGGCCTCGAGGCCCTAAAAAGCTGAGTTGCTGCTCCGGCGCTTCCTGCGCAGCCAAACTTTAAACCCTAAACCCTAAACCCTTAACCCTAAAGCCTAAGCACTGGACCTAAACTGTAAACCCTAAACCCTAGCTACGAACCCCCCGATTCGGCCCGTGGCTGAGATGGGGTCCCTTCTTACCGACTGCGTTGACGCTGCTGCAGTTGGGGGCTCCTGCTGCTGCCTTTGCTGCTGCTGCTGCACTTGCTGCTGCTGCTGCTGCTGCTCTTGGCGCTGCCGCGCGCGGTCAAGCTCTTCCTTGAGCTCTTGCTGCAGGCGTTCCTTTTCTTGCTGCAGCAGCAGCAGCTGCTGCTGCTGCTTCTCGGCCTCCTGCTGCAGTTCCGCCCGCTGCTGCTGCAGCTTCTCAACCTGGGCAAAGCACTCAGCACCAAACCCTAAACCCTAAACCCTAAACCCTAAACCCTAGCAGGTCAAGCAGTAAGAGGCAAAGAGCGCAGTAGGGGCCTGCCAGGTCAAGGCTGAAGGGAGCCAGCCTCACGGCCTAGGGTTTAGGGTTAAGGGTTTAGGTTCTAGGGTTTAGGGTTTAGAGTTTAGGGTTTAGGGTTTGAGATTTGAGTACTCGCATTGCCTGAGTGGCCCTTTGCTCTTCCACGGCAGCAGCTTCATCCTGTTGGAAAATCAAGAAGCCGCATCAAACCCTAAACCCTAAACCCTGAACCCTAAACCCTGGCCGCAAACCCTAGGACAGACCTGGGCTACGAAGATTTGCTTCCGCAGTGCATTCATTTCTGCTGCATGTTGCTGCTGCAGCTGTGCTAGCTGCTGCTGTTGCTGCTGCTGCTGCTGCTCCCACGAGCTCCGCTGCTGCTGCAGTATTCGGGCTAGCTCTTCGCGCTGCTGCTGCTGCTGCTGCAGCTGCTGCTGCAGCAAATGCTGCTGCTGCCGCGCTGCTGCTGCGTCTTTCTCTGCTGCTGCTATTTTATCCAGAGATGGTTTTGAAGTGCCGGTGAGCATCGCCTGCGCACCTCAAAACCCTAAACCCTAACCCCTAATCCCAAACCCCAAACCCTAAACCCTAATCTCCAAACCCTACATTAAAAGAAGCAGTACAAGTGTTTGCATAATATATATATTTTATAAACCACAATTTCGGGTCTGGAGTAAAAGCAAAAAGGAGAAGCAGATGCTTACATGCAATTCATCATTCTCGGACTGCAGCTGCTGCAGCTGCTGCTGCTGCTGCTGCTGCTGCTCAAAGTGCTGCTTCTCCAGCCGCGCAGACATGGCCTTGGCGTCCTGAAAGAAATTCATAGACCCTAAACCCTAGACCCTAAACCCCAAATCCTAAGCTCGAGGAAATAAACCCTAGCCCTCATAGGTCGCGGTGGCCGGCGGATCTGCTCACTGCAGCCCTCAAACCCTAAACCCTAAACCCTAAACCCTAAACCCTCACATTAAGCTGGTGGGTCAGCTGACTGTTGATGGCCTTGAGACGCTCCACTGTTTCTGTTTGCTTTGCTGCTGCAGACAGCTCTAGTTTCCTGCAGCAACAGCAGCAGCAGCAGCAGCAAATGCAACAGCACTTGGAGCAGCAGCAGCAGCTGTGATAGCGGCACCTGAAGCAGCAGCAGCAACAGCAGCCGCACACAGCTTTTGCTGTTGCGCAGCAGCAGCAGCAGTTCCTCACTCTTTCTCAGCTCTTGCTGCCGCTGCTTCTGCTGCAGCACTCGAACGGCTGGCCTCCGCCTCAGCAGCAGCAGCACTGAGTCGCTGCACCTGCAGCAGCAACGTCACCGCAGCAGCAGCAACAGCAGCAGCAGCAGCACAGGTCAAACCATATAGTGCTGGCGCCGCCGCAGTAGCAGCAGCAGGCAGCAGCAGCAGCAGCAAGTAGCTGGCTTGCAGCTGTAGAGGGCTACACGCCTTTCTCTTCCTGCGAATAATTTAGGGTTTAGGGTTTGGGGATTAGGGTTTAGGGTTTAGGGTTTAGGGTTTTCAAATACTTTGGCCTCCAGCTGCGCCACAACTTTGTTTTGTGCTGCTGCATCTGCAGAGAGCTGCTCATGGGCCGCCTTGAGCGACTTGTAGCCCTGAGACACCAAACCCTAAACCCTAAACCCTAAACCCTAAACCCTAGGCCCTGCACTTTAAGCTACTTCAGTACAGGCTCAGAGCGCAGCAAAATGAATAGCACAATCAGTACTAAGCAGCACTGCAGCAGCAGCAGCAGCTGATGCTGCTGCATCAGCATTGCTGGCAGCAACAACAGCCAGCATCATCGGCTGCTGCTGCTGCTGCTGCTGCTGCTGCAGCAGCAGCAACACTCACATCGCACTGGGCCCGCAGCCTTTTAATTGTTGTGTCTGCTGCTCCCAGTCGATTGGCTAGGGCGTGCCCTTCCTGCTGCAGCTCTGCGTACTCCTGCTGCAGCAGGTGCTGCTGCTGCTCCTGCTGCTGCAGCTTCTGCTGCTGCTCCCGCAGCGACCCGTTCAGCAGCTCGATCGTCCGTAGCAAGTCCTGCTCGTGCTGCTGCTGCTGCTGCAGCTGCAGCACACATTAAAGCAGCAGCTGCTGCAGCAGACGCGTGTGCTACGGCAGCTGCAGCCATGCTGCTGCTGCAGTTGCTGCTGCTGCTGCGCGAAGTGCAGCAGCAGCAGCAGCGAACGGTTGCAGCAGCATAGTAGCAGAAGCAAGAACACAACTGCCAGGCTGCTGCTGCTGTTGCTGCTGCTGCTGCAGTTGCTGCTGCTGCTGCTGCTGCTTTTGCTGCTGCTCCGCCGCTTTCTGCGTTTCTCTTCATCTTGGCTTTTCAGATCTAGGGTCTACCCTCGAAGATTCAGGGATTAGGGATTAGGGTTTAGGGTTTAGAGTTTGCGGCTGAGGGTTTGGCTTGCCTGCTGACGCAGCTGCTGCAGCTCCTCGTCGGGGCTTCGCTGCGGGTCTAAGAGAACTGAAAGCTGTTCGGACTTGTGCTGCAGCTGCTGCTCCCGCTGCTGCAGCAGCGTTTTCTGCTGCTGCAGTTGCTCCTGCTGCGACTTCAGCAGCTCCTGCTGCTGCACCAGCTGCGCCTCCTGCTGCTGCAACTGCTGCTGCTGTTGCTGCAGCTGCTGCAGCATCCGAGCCTCCTTGTCCTGCTGCCCCACTCCCCCGTGTATCGGCGCCTGCGTACTAGCATCTGCTGCTGCTGCTGCTGCTGCTGCTGCTTTCTCTGTTGCTGCTGCTTTCCCTGCTGCTGCTTCTGCTGCTGCTGCAGGAACAGGCGTCGGCGGGGGTGGTGGGGGCACAAGGAGAGGCACAGCTGCTGCTGGCTTCTGCTGAAGTGCAGTAACATTCTCTGGAGCCATCTGCTGCTGCTGCTGCTGCTGCTTCTGCTGCTGTTCCTGCTTCTGCTCCTGCTGCTGCTCCCGCTGCTGCCTCTGCTGCTGCCTCTGCTGCTGCTCCTGCTGCTCCTGCTGCTCAACCAGCAGCGACGACTCTCCTGTGTCCTGCGCGCCGTGCTGCTGCTTAGGCGGAGTTTGCTCTTGCTGCTGCTGCTGTTGCTGCTGCAATGAATTCAGACCCTCTGCAGAAACAGGGGTGGTGGACATTACTTCTACTGTTTCTGCTGCTGCTGCCGCTGCTGCTAATGGTCCCTTAATTTGGCCATCTAGTGGCTCTTCAATTTCTCTCCGGCCAGCGGTTGTTGCTTCATTGGCTGCATGTGTAAGCACTGCTGCTGCTGCTGCTGCTGCTGCTGCTGGCGCTGCTGCCGCTGGCTCTGGTGCAGGTGAGGTGTCCTGTGTTTTGTCGGCTGCTGTGAGAATGTTGGCCGTTGGCTCTGCTGCAGCTGCAGCAGCAGCAGGTGCTGCTGCTGCTGCTGTTGCTTCTGCTGTTGCTGCAGATGGCGGCAGACTCAGCGTGCTTCCCCATAGATCTTCTGCTGCTGCTTCTGCCGCTGCAGGTGAAGCTGCAGCTGCTGCTGTCTCCTCCCACAAATCAGACCCTGCTGCTGCTGCTGCCGATGGTGTCTCTGCTGCTACTGCTGCGGCTGCCGATGCTGTCTCTGCTGCTGCTGCTGCTGCTGCTGCTGCTGCTGCCGCCTCTACAGTGGGAATCTGCTGCACCTTCAAGTCCGCTTCCAGCCCCTGCATCCCCAACTCATCGCAACCTGCTGCTGCTGCTGTTTCCCTTGCTGCTGCTGCTGCTGCTGCTGTTTCTGCTGCTTCAGCTGCTGCTGCTGTTGCTTCTGCTGCTTCTGCTGCTGCTGCTCCTCCTCTCGCCAGTGCTGGCTCCAGCAGTAAAGGCTGCTCTGCTGCAGCAGCAGCTCCAGCAGCACGAAGGTTTTCACCCCAGTCATCTAAAGGTAAAAGGTCCTCTAATTCCTGCTGTTGCTGCTGCTGCTGTTGCTGCTGCTGCTGCTGTTGCTGCTGCTGCTGCGGGACTTCCTCCAAAGCCTCCAGCAGCAAATCACTGCCTGCGGGCACTGCAGAAGCCTTCAACTTGGCCACCTCGGCTGCTTCCTCTGCTGCAGCTGCTGCTGCAGCTGCTGCTGCCTCTGCTGCTGCTTCCGCTGCTGCTTCTTTTGCAACTGCTGTCTTTGCTGCTTCTGCTGCCGCTACTTCTGCAGCTGCTGCCGCCGCTGCTGCTGCTGCAGCATCTGCTGCTGCTGCTGCTTCTGCCTCCGCTTGTGCTGCTGCTGCGTTTGCCGCTGCTGCTTCTCTTGCTGCAGTTGCTGCTGCTGCCTCTGCTGCTGCCGCTGCTGCTATTTCTTGTGCTGCTGCGTGGACGCTTTCTTCAACCACGAGAAGTGCTGCTTCCGGACCTCTTGGTGCTGCTGCTGCTGCTGCTGAATCTTCTGCATCTGCTGTCTCAGCAGCAGGACTGCGAGATGTAGCAACAGTGGCAGCAGCAGCAGCAGCTTCGGCAGCAGCTGCCGCTGCCGCTGCTGAAGCTGCTGCTACGCCTGCTGCACTGTGACGCACTTTGGAAGAAGCGGCAGCAAATTGGTTTTCTGTAGCTTCCAGTAAGCTGCTGCTGCTGCTGCTGTCGCTGCTGTTCTTGTTGCTGTGGCTGTTGTTGCTGCTGGTGTTGCTGCAATTTATAGCTGAGAACGAAGTCAAAGTAGGAAGCGCCGCATCTGCTGTTTTTGTTGCTGCAGCCTTAGTTGCTGCTGCTTCTGCTGCTACCGTTTCTGCTGCTGCAGCTGCTGAGAAGAGATCAGCCGCTGGAGAAAAGCCCTCCTCACTCAACGCTGCACCTGCTGCTGCTGTTGCATCCACTTGTGCTGCTGCTGCTGCTGCTGCGGAGAGTGCAAGCTCTCCCCTATGCACAGAACCAGCTGCTGGAGACAAGTTTGCTGCTGCTGCTGCTGCTGTGTCTTCAGGTGCTGCTAAAGAGATGCTTTCCATAGAGGAGTCGCAGTAGAGTGCTGCTGCTGCTGCTGCTGCTGCTGTGGGTGAGCTGCTGCTTGTAGGTTGCGGGTATTCAGTCAGATCCTCAACAGCAGCATCGCGCTCTGCTGCTGCTGCTGCTGCTGTCGGTGCAGCAAGAGCTGCTGCTGCTGCTGAGCGTTTATCTGCTGCAGTGTTATTTGCTGCCTCTGCTCGCGGCTGTCTCCTGAGAGACACACCAAGGGGGTCCCATCGCTGCTGCTGCTGCTGCAGTTGCTTCTCTTGTTGCTGCGGCTGCTGCTGTGTCTGCTGCTGCTGCTGCTGTTGCCCTGAGCGTTGTGAAGCGTACGACTTCGCCGCTCTTTCAGTGACTGCTGCTGCTGCTGCCTCAAGTCCTGCTGCAGCTGCTGCTGCTGCTGCCTCAAGACCTGCTGCTGCTGCTGCTAGCTGAGGCAGGGATGGGGAGCTGGACCCTGAAACTCCGCGCTGTCTTTGCGGCTGCTGCTGCTGCTGCTGCTGCTGCTGCTGCCTTCGGGCTTCCAGCAGCGACTGTAGAGACACCTCATCGTCTTCGGATATGTCTTCAGCACCTTGCTCATCTTGCTGCTGCTGCTGCTGTTGCTTCCACGGAACAGCAACGCGGGAGCTGTGGTTTGCTGCTGCAGCAGACAGGGGAGAGAGAGCAGCAGCAGGTGCTGCTGCTACGCGTCCCCACAGCCTGTTGATGCCCTCTAGTGCAGCAGCAGCAGAAGACTGCCCGTGCTGCAGCAGTACATCTGCAGCAATCCAATTGCTGCCGTTGCTGTTGTCCTTGCTGCTGCTGCTGCTGCCCTCAGGGGAGACGTTGTTACTGTTCCTGGCCGAGCTCTGGCCTCTGCTGCCGCCGCCCCCGTTGCTGCTGCTGCTGCTGCTGCTGCTGCTGCCAGTTAGTGCTGCTTCAAACGTTTGGTCAATCTGCCCAGACACAGTGCGGGCAACATCTTTAGCGTTGGCCCAGAGAGAATGCATTTCCCCTTGCTGCTGCTGCCGCCGCTGCTGCTGCAGTTCCCGCTGCTGCTGCTGCTGCCGCTGCTGCTGCTGCTGCTACTGCTGGTCCGGCTGCTGGAGGCACTTGGGCCGCTGCTGCTGCCTAAAAGGCTGTTCAAAGCCTGCTTCTGCTGCAGCTGCTGCTCATTTCTCTGGGGCTGCTGCTGCTGCTGCTGCTGCTGCCGTTGCTGCTGCTGCTGCGGCGGCTTCTGCCGTTCCTTCTGCTGCTCTGAGCAACTGCAGCTAAAGAGGCGATAAAGAGCTTCCGCTGCAGCTACAAATAAGCCTCCGGAGGCCCTTGGTTGCTGCTGCTGCTGCTACATCCCCTGTGCTGCTGCTGCTCCTGCTACTGCTGCTTGGAGTGTCCAAAATGCTGCTGCAGCGCATAACACATTTGCTGCCAATGCTTTTGCTCGTGTGGCATCGATACTAACTTCACTAACGCATTTCATCTGCAGGTGGCGCAGCTGCGGCTGCAGCTGCTGCCGCTGCTGCTGCTGCTGCAGTTGCTGCTGCAGTTCTTGGGTAGGCCCCCGCCGGCGCCTTTCTGCGGGTTTCTGTCCCTAATGTGGTCTTTTTCCCGTTCTGTTGACACTGAAGGGATGGAACGTGCTGCTGCTGCCCCTGCTGCTGCTGTTGCTGCTGTAGGGCTTAGGCCGCAGCCGACAGCGCGGACGCACGCTGCTGCTGCACAAGAAGCTGCAACACTAATAAATGTGTTTGCATTTTCTGAAGTATATTATTTGCTTTCGACTCAATGAAGTGTACAGACACCGCAAGACAGTCAGTGTTAGAAGCAACTCTGGGCTCTCCTCGAAGGCAGCTGCACCCGCAGCACCAGCAGCAGCACTAACAGCAGCAGCAGCTACGCCGCAGCTTCTAATGACTAGTACGCCCAAACATAAAAAGGAAGCTATTAGCGGCCGCGTGGTTCTTAGAAGTGCCCTAGGTACTGCAGCAGCAGCAGCAACAGCAGCAGCAGCACCAGCAGCGGAGGTTACAAGTGCACACTAAAACAACCGCGGCAGCAGCAGCAGCAGCAGCAATGCCGGACCCCGGGCGAGAAGCAGCAGAGCTTCCTCTCTGCCGCAATAACAACTCATTGCAGCAGTATTCAGAGCAACTGCAGCAGCAGCAGCAACAGCAGCAGCAGCAGCACGAACCGCTGCGCTCTTACTGCAGCCTCACTTCCCCCTATCCCCACCATCTTGAAGATGACTGCAGCAGCGCCTCTTCCGCTCAGGCAGATATAGCTACTAACCTTGCCCCGGTGCTGCTGCTGCTGCTGCTGCTGCTAGTGCTGCTGCTGCCGCTGCTGCTGCTTCTTCTCCCTGTTGCAGCAGTTCGTGAAGGCTTCTTGTGCGCTGCTGCTTCTGCATCTTCCAATGTCCCCAATCCTGTCCCTGCGCTTCCTGCTGTTTCTGCTGCTGCTGCTGCTGCTGCGTGCAGGCTTCCAGCGTGGTGGGCACTTCTCCAGTGTCTCTACGGGGTGCAGATTTGCTGCTGGACAAGTTGCATGCGCTGCTGCAGTGTCTGTTCAGCATAGGGGCACTGCAGCAGCTAGCAGTTCCCTCTCTTGCTGCTCTGGAAGCAAATCTGCAGCAGCGGGTCTGCAGCAACTTCATTCCTTACTTGTCACCTCCCCTTGCTGCTGCTGCTGCCTCTGCTGCAGCAGCAGAAACAGCAGCAGCAACGACGCCCCTCGCGGCGCCCGAAGCTGCGGCAGCAGCAGCAGCAGCTGCTCCCCACCAGCTCAGCAGCAGCAACTCCAGCCCTACAGTCACTACTCGCTCCCCGTCTGCTGCTGCTGCTGCTGCTGCAGGCTTGCCCCAGTCTGCTGCTGAGAAGGTGGCTTGCAGTGGCCTCAGCAGCGAGTGCGAGGGCAGCAGCACCGCAGCAGAGCAGCAGCAGCAGGAGGAATTAGCAGCACTTGATAAGCAGCAAACGCGAAAGTACTCGACGATTGGAGCTTATGAGGAAGAAGCAGCAGCAAACACAACAGGAGAAGAAGCAGCAGCAGCAGCAGAAGGAGCAACAGCAGCGCCTACTACTGCTGCTGCTGCGCCATCCGAAGCACCGTCACTCTCGCCGGCAGCAGCAGCATCAACCCCAGCATCAATCCCAGCAGCAGCAGCAGCAGCTCCAGCAGCAGCAGCTCCAGCAGCAGCAGCAGCAGGCGGCAGCAGCCAAGGCGCTG